TCCGTGCCACCAACCCAGTCTCTCCCCACCCTGTTTCTCCCTCCACCCATGCCCTCTCCCCCTCTTCACGTCCGACTCTCATGTCAGGTAAAGTTTCTTTGAGGGCAGGTGTTTTTCTTATGTAAGGGCAGTTTGGACTCTAAAATACTAATTCAAATACCAAATATGTTGCCCCCATTCTTGCAGGCATGAGTAATAACTTATAAATCCACAGATTTTATTATACTTAAAACATTTCTGGAAGTGGGGGGAGGAGCCTCAGACTGATTCTGAGATCATCTCAGGCTATTGTTCCAGAAAGAATGTCCCAAGGAATGCAAAATCTGGGACAAATTACTTTGTTTCATTCTCTTCTTTTTCTCCAAACCATTTCATGCAGGTGAAATCAGACTTATAGTATTCTTATGAAACATGAGCATAGATGGCCACCTTGAAGGGGAAGATTTGCTCGTGGAGGCTTGCCTGCTATGTAAGCTAGTAATGGGGAGAGGGACAGACCTGCCACTTAACTTTACATTTTCCTTGAGCTTACTGGTAGGTGTATTAGCCTTAGGTGTTTTTGTAAGTACCCAGTAACTGAGCCTTCGCCTCTTCCAGGCATGCCTTCAGATAGCCTACTGTTTTTTCAGCAGCAGACCAGAAAGGAAGTGTAGACTTTCTAAATGTTGCTTAGAACTTCTTTCCTGCCTCATTTCTTTAGGCCCTTCCAACCTAAAGTTTGTAACCCTAACAAAGAAGTCTGAAATCAACAGGGTCCCACAGGTTTTTAAAACAGCCCAACTGAGATTGATACACCATAACATTTACCCATTTGGGATACGAGTGGTTTTTAGGACGTGTGTAAAACTGTTCAACTGTACCATAATCCAGTTGTAGAGCATGTTTATCACTTTAAAAGTTCCTGGCATCCATTTACATACAACTAGTCCCCATTTCTACCCACCATCTCAGTCAAGTACATATGTATTTTCTGTTCCTACTGTCGTTTATTTTTTTCCTTAGAAGTTTCATGTAAATTAAATCATACATTATGTCGTTTTGAGTCTCATTTCTTTCATTTAGCATAATACTTGTGAGAATCATTCGGGTTGTAGTATGTATCCATTTGTTCCCCTTTGCTGTGATATTGCACTGTTGTATATACCATGTTGTATTCATTTTCTGGTTTATAGACACTGGATTGTTTCCCATTTTAGTTATGAATAATATATCAGTGAACATTAACATAGTAATTCTTTGGGCATGTGTTTTCATTTCACTTGGACAGATACCTGGGTTGTGTGGTAAATCTATGTGTGACAGTTTAAGAAACTGTCAAAATTCAGAAGTAAACCCTAAGTTAAGGTCATCTGATTTTTGAAATGCCAAGGCTATTCAATAGGAAAAGGATAGTCTTTTCAGTGATAGCGCTGAGGCACCGGGAGAACTATATGCAGGAGACTAACATTGGATCGCTGCCTCATATTATGTACAACTGTATCATGCATCTTTATGTAAGAGGCAAAACTCTAAAGTTCTTAGAAGCAAATTTAGCTGTGAATCTTTGTAACCTTGGATTAGGGAATAGCATCTGACATATGACACTAAAAGTAACAAAACAAAAATAGATTAGATTTCATTAAAATGTGAAGCTTTTGTGCTCCAAAGGCACCCCCAGATTGTGAATTTTCAACTCAAAAATAAAAAGAGAAATGAGCCAATTAAAAACAGTAAAGGATTTGAACAGACATTTCTCCAAAGAAGTCCCATAAATGACTGCTAAGTATAAGATGCGCAATATCATTAGCCATGAAGAGAAACACTAATGAAAACCAAAACAAGATATCACTTCCTGTCCCATCCAGGATGACTAAAATGAAACAGGACCAATGTTTTCACAGGTGTTGGGGATGATGTGGACAAATTGGAACCCTCATACTCTACTGGTGGTATAGTCAGGTAGCACAGCCATTTTGAGAAACCATTTGGCAATCGACCCGGCACCTTCACTCCTAGGCATAGATCTAAGAAAATGAAAATATGACCAGCAGGATTATTCATAATTGTCAAAAAGTGGTCTTGCAAGTGTCTAGCAAGTATTTCATTAGTCTGTATGTCTTACAACTTTACAACCCTATGTTGACTGTCCTTTTATAGTACATTTTAAAGCCTTAAAGTATGAGCCCTACTACTTGGTTCTTGTTCAAGACTGTTTGGACTGTTTGGAGCCCCTTATGGATCATAACCTTGAAGATTTGGGAAGATATTTTTAATCCTAATAACCTTATGCTATTTTGAAAAAGGAATGATTGTATATATTGTACTAGATACAATTGTCTGTAGAAACTCAACTCTAGTGGTGAAAAACAGAGGAATCTTATGTTTTGTTTCATGTTTCCATTTTAAGTGTTCCCTACGGAATTCCTTGGAGAGAAAATTGCCTATCAGGACCATATAAACAGCCAAAACTGGCCAGAAGACACCGACTTCTGCTACCAACCGGAGCAAGTGATGAATCCTACCCAGACTGGTAAGTAGAGTCTTGAATATGATCCTTGAATGTGATGTGTGACGGAAACATGAAAAAGTCACAATAGCCACTCGGATAAAACTTAAACCTAAATGTAGCTCACCAAGCATGCCCAACCCTTCCTTTTCTCTGTTTGTTCTCGAATCTCAGGTGTTTAATACTCTCTATCTACTTCCTTCTCCTTTGAACCTTGTTTTAGATAATTATCTGAAGCTGTGTACACTGCAGACGTAGTGATTAATAGTACCTTAGAACTTCAGTTCTTTGAGAAGGAACTATTAAAGGAATAATAACACCAGAAACTGGTGTCTCTTCTGTTCCAGGCACTTGTTACCTGTGTTTCTTTCCTGTCTGTGCCGCGCATCTTATTCTCCTTGTTTGACAGAAACTGAAACCCCGGCTATTTATAGAGTTTATATATTCCAGAGCTGGAATTGGAATTTAAATCACATTTAATTCCAGATCTTGATTTTTATTTCCTGCCACCTATCAAGGAATGAAATATACACTGTAATCTCAGGAATTAATAACGGAAGTATAAATCTCGTAGACATATAAAAAGTAGGAAGACTCAACTGCATCACTTTTTTAAAGGCAAATTTCCTAAAATATTAAACATAATCCTACCATATGATTCAATTATTCTTCTCCTAAGTATTTTCTGAGAGAAATATAAGCACGTCTGCTCACAAACATTGGTACTTGATTCGAATAACCCCAAACTGGAACGGCACAAATGCTCATCAGCTGGTGAATGGGTAAGGAAAGCAGGGTGTAACCCTACAGTGGAATGCTGCTGCTAGGTGCTGCCAGGCTGGTTCCAACTCAGAGCAAACCTCTGTACAACAGCCTGGAACTCCGCCCCGGTCTGTGCCATCCTCACAATTGTTATCCTTGAGCCCATTGTGGAATATGACTTAGCAAAAATAAACATAACCGCATGCATGCATAAGTTTCAAAATCATGTTGTGTGAAAGCATCCAGGCATACACACACACACACACACACACACAAATGGTATATAGACTCTCAGGTTTCTATAAAAGTCAAACTACTAGGTGGAGACAAAAAGAATGCCTGTGGCTGCCTAGGTACCACTACCAACTGCTCTGGAGAGTCTCACATTGGAAGGATTTGTATAGAATGGGAGAAGAGTGCGGAGCAGAGCCCAAAATCACAAAAGAGACTGAGCTTTCCGGTCTGCTAGTGACTGGTGGAATCCCCAAGCTGTAAGTAACCCTTAGTCACCACTGTGGCAAAATAATCAGAAGAGCAGCATTTACCCAAGGAATGAGTGTTAGCAAAGGAGGAAGAGTGGAAGCAAGAAAGGCCGGGAGAAGGTGGGATAGATAATATATGGTACTCTAAGGCTATTGAAATGGATGAGTTGAAACAGAGTCTGTATAACTTACTGAGTGTAAAACTGATGATCTGCTCTGTAAATCTTCACCTCTCTTACTGCCACCGAGTGGATTCTGACTCATGGTGACCCTTTTGGACCTGGCAAAGCTGCCCTTGTGGGTTTTCAAAACTAACTATTTACACAATACATAAAGTCAATAAAGGCTATTGTAAATAAAGATTATTGTAAACAGACAATGGTCTTTCTCCTACAGAGCCGCTTGTGGTTTCAAACTGCTGACCTTGCAGTTAGCAGCCCAGTTCATAACTACTGCACCACCAAGACTCCTTACCTTCACCTAAATCACAATATGAAGGTTTTTTTCTCTGTGTGTTTTTTTGTAAGATCATTTAATTGGGAGCTCTTACAGCTCTTATAACAGTCCATACATCAGTTGTATCAAGCATTTGTACATATGTTGCCATCATTATTTTCTAAAGATTTACTTTATATTTGAGCCCTTGGTACCAGCTCTTCTCCCACCACCCCCTCGTGACCCCTTGATAAATGATAAATTATTGTTATTTTCATATCTTATATCCAATGCTGTTTCCCTTCACCCACGTTTCTATTGTTCATCCCCCTGGTGGTGGTGGTGGTGGTGGTGTGTGTGTGTGTATGTGTGTGTGTGTTATGCAGTGCCCTGTTCCTCCCATCCTCTTCTCTCCACCTTCCCCCTTCACTCCTGGTATTGCTACTCTCATTTCTGTTCCTGAGTGGTTTATCTGACCTGGATTCCATGTCTCATGAGCTCTTACCTGTACTTGTGCACATGCCCCAGTCTAGCCCACAGTGAAAGGCAGGATTGAGGTCATGATAGTGGGGGTTGAGGAAGCCTCAAGGAACCAGAGGAATAATGTGTGTTTCATCGGTGCAATACTGCACCGTGATTGGCTCATCCCTTTCTTGTGACCCTTCTGTGAGGGAATGTCCCATTGTCTACAGATGGGTTTTGGGTCTCTTCTTCATCTCTAACTCCCCTCATTCTCAACAATATGGTTTGTTTGTTTGTTTATTTGGGGTCCTCTGATGCCTGGTACCGGATTCCATCCCTCATGATTACATAGGCTGGTGTGCTTCTTCCATGTGGGCTTGTTTCTTCTCTGCTAGATAGCCACTTGTTTAACTTTAAGCCGTTAAAACCCCAGGCACTATATCTTTTGATAGCTGGGCATCATCAGCTTTCTTCACCACATTTGCTTGTGCTGCACCCATTTTGTCTTGAGCTATTGTGTTGGGAGGGTGAGCATCACAGAATGCCAGATTGTTAGGACCGTGTGTTCTTGCGTTGAGGTGGGGCATAAGCAGAGGCCTAAAGTCTATCCACTACCTCAGTGTATTGGTATATAAATATATGTACATATGCCAGTACCTCTATTCTATGAATTAATGTATCATATGTACACACCTATGTTTACACCTCTATCCATAGCTCTGATTCCTAGAGCTTTCCAATTTCCTTTTATCTTCCTCCTGCCCTACCATCATACTCGTCCTTCTTTTGCCTCTTAGTAATTCCTCTCAGCTAGATAGCTGTTGTTCCAACACCCTCCTCATTGTTGATTTTAATTCCCTAGTTGTTCCCCTGTCTGTGGTGTTTGCTCACAGCTCCCTTCCCCTGCCTCCTCCTTCCCCAAAGTCCCTTCAGAACCGTTGGTTCTGTTGCTTTCTCCTGAAGCTTACTTCCCATGCCTATCATATAGATAGGCAAACCAACAATAATGGAGACCAAACAAAAAGAAAACAAAAGATTGAATCCAAAGAGAAAAAAAATAATAACTAACAAAAAAGGCATACATAATTCCGTGTCTGTCTGCTGACCTTTATGACTTATCTCCCCACTAGTTCTGGTTGGTTCCAGGAACTGCCCCTCTAGTCTGAAGTCTATTTGGGGCTCCTCGGGGGCTGTTGTTGGCCCTATAGTCCTTGCTGTGCCTTAGCAGCTCCCTACAGGGACATCATCCTCGGGGCTTGGTGTGCCATTATGCGGTCTAGACCCTCACTCTCTTTCCTTCTTGGTTTGCTTCTGTGTGGATGTGGCATGCCGGCCCCACTCCCCAACCTGTAGGTTTAGTGTTGTCCTCTGTAGCACATACTTTCTATGGAGGGAATCAGTTTGGCTCTGATTGGGGTGGCCCTGTAACCCACTCTGTTTATGAGGTGCTCCATGTGGTTACGTTGGTGCTCCATAGTGGGGTCTGCTGACCTTGCAGTTAGCAGCCCAATTCGTAACCACTGCACCACCAAGACTCCTAAACCTTCACTTAATTACAATTAAAAGTTTTAAAAAAAAGAATTCCTGGGTCTGGAGGCAAGGGGAGAAATTAATTGAATGAGTAACTTTTTTGGGGTGGGGCGGGCATCCCTGAGTGGGCATGAATGAACGAGTAATCATAGAAGGGATGGGGCAAATTTTCTGTATTCTTGATTGTAGTTGTGTTTTCCTTTGTGTATACAACTGTCAGAATTCAAATTGCCCACTTTAAATAGATGCAGTTTGTTGATGTTAATTGATGTTGATAAGTTGATAAGAGGGAAGAAGAGGTGTAATTATAGGGTGTAGTTGGTCTGCAGAAGGGGGTCTGAGGAACCCCTCAAAGCAATGGCGTCAATAACACTAAGTCAGAGTTAGCCAGGTCACAAGGAGAAGTAATTTGTCTCCCCTTAAGTATATATGGCCATTTTTTGCTCTCTGAACTTAATGAAATGTTCATAGTTGGTTCCCCGTGACCTATAATGCATGTGAAACTTCCCAAACTTGTTTGACCCACTCCCGCCTTAAAAAAACAAAAACAAAAAAAAACTACTCAGCACCCCTCCGGCAATTAAGAAATTTTTTTCTACAAAACAACCTTATCGTGCTTGCTTCGGCGGCACATATACTAAAATTGGAACAATACAGAGAAGATTAGCATGGCCCCTGTGCAAGGATGACACGCAAATTCGTGAAGTGTTCCATATATTAAAAAAAGAAAAACAAAAAAACAACCTTATCACCGTCAAAGTACTCTTCGTTACAATTAATACATTTGTCAACTCTGTGATTCCATTCTTGGAAGTATTTTTTAAACTCATTTGTTTGGATCGCTGATAGCGCCTCCCTCGGTTTTTTCTTCATCTCCTATGTTGTCAAATTGCTGTCCTTTCATGTCCCTTTTCATTTGCAGAAACAAAAAAGTCGCACAGAGCAAAGTCAGGTGAGGAAGGTGCGTGGGGCAAGAGAGGCATGCTGATTTTTGCCAAAAACTGGCTGTGTGAGCAGGTGCGTTGTAGGGGTGGCAAAACCAGTCCCCCATCTGCCACAAATCAGACCTTTTTTGTCAGACACTGTTATGTAATCTTTTAAGAACCTCTCAGTGGTTCTCAACCTGTGGGTCACAACCCCTCTGGGGATGAACGACCCTTTCACAGGGGTCGCCCAATTCATAACAGTAGTAAAATTACAGTTATGAAGAAGCAACAAAAATAATTTTATGGTTGGGGGGTCACCACAACATGAACTGTATGAAAGGGCCACGGCATTAGGGAGGTTGAGAACCCCTGTTCTAGAGCTTCATATTATTTGTTGCTTTCTGTTTTCGTGGCCAACTCAAAGGTAGAGAGATCTGTCTAGGAATGGAATTGTTGGGTTATATGTTAACTCTGTGATTCATCATTTGAGGAACGGCCAGGTTGTTTTCCAAAATGGGTGCACGATTTTACATTCCAGTCAGCAATGTTCAGGTGTTTCCTTTTCCCATATCCCTCCTAACACGTGTTACTGTACGACTCTGTGATTCTAGTCATCCTAACGGGTATGAATTAGTATCTCCGTGGTTTGATTCTAATGATGTTTATTTTTTCATGTGTATATTGACCATTGGTAAATTTTCATTGGAGAAATGTGTATTCAGATCTTTTACCTAATTTTTAACTTCATTATTTGTTTATTAAGATGTAGGCATTCCATAAATATATAGATATTATCAGATCTATGATTTGAAAATATGGGTATTATATCCTGTTCTATGTGTTGTCTTTTCCTTTTATGAATAGTGCCCTTTGAAGCTCAAAAGCTTTGAATTTTGGTAAAGCCCAATTTTATCTTTTTTCTCTCTCTTGGTGCTCTTACTTTTGGTTTCCTATCGAGTAATCCAGTGAGAAATCTGAAGTTAAGAGAATTTATCACCCGGGAGGCAGAGGAAAAAATGAGGAGCTGATACCAAGGGCTCAAGTAGAAAGCAAATGTTTTGAGAATGATGTTGGCAACAAATGTACAAATGTGCTTGACACAATGGATGTATGTATGGATTGTGATCAGAGTTGTATGAGCCCCCAATAAAATGATTTTTTTTAAAAAGAATTTATCCCTGTTTTCTTCTAAAAGTTTTGCTCTTACATTTAAGTCTTTAAACCACTTTGAATTGATTTTTATGTATTTTATATCAAGTGTGTGCTGTCAGGGTCCACGTTTGTTCTGCATGTGGCTATGTAGTTGTACCAAGCTTATTTATTGAAAATCCTATTCTTTTCCCACTGAATGGTCTTGGCACCTTTGTTGCAAACCACTTGACCATGTTGTTTGTTGTTAGATGTCACCGAGTGGGTTCTGATTCTTTGCAGCCCTGTGTACAACAGAAGGAAACACCACCCAGTTCTGTTCCATCCTCCCAATTGTTCTATTTGAACCTGTTGTTGCAGCCACCATGGCAGTCCATTTTGTGTAGGATTATGTTAGGCCTGGTTGACTAGAAAAACAAATCCAGTGTTGCTCATATATGTGTAAGAGAGAGCTTTATACCAAAAAGTAATTATATATCAATCAAACTTCCAGTCCAGATCAAGTCCTTAAGTCCGAATACTAGCCTGTGAATCCCTCTTCAGACTCACACCACCACATGCAGTGATGCAGGGTGCTGGAAGATCACAGGCTGGTGGGTGCAGAGTTGTGTGGATATAAGGGAGGTGGGCACATCACAGGGCTCACACAGGCCTCAGTGTGGCTCAGATGGTGAATGGTGGCTGAGAGAGAGAGAGAAGGGAGGATCCAAGGACCCTCCTTATGATAAGGCCACACTCACAAGGAGATACCATCAGGCTGTGACCCAATTGACAGGCTAGACTTCACCCCTACACTTAATGTATCAAGTTGACAGGGATATTCTTTTTTTTTTTTTCCCTGCCACTCTACCAAGCATGATGCCCTCTTCCAGGGACTGATCTATCCTGATAACATGTCCAAAATACCTGAGACAAAGTCTCACCATCGTTGCTTCCTTTTTTTTTCTTCCAAGACAGATTTGTTTGTTCTTTTGACAGTACACAGCCCTTTCAATATTCTCCACCATAATTAAAATGCATAAACTCTTCTTTGGTCTGTCTTATTCAGTGTTCAACTTTCACATGCATATGAGGCGATTGAAAATACTATAGCTGGGGGCAGGTGCACCTTAGTCCTCAAAGTCACATCCGTGCTTTTCGATATGTAAAGAGGTTTTGTGCAGCAGATTTACCCAAAGCAATATGTCATTTGAGGGGTATTGCCATCTTAATAATATCAAGAAGACTGACCTATGAACATGAGTTTTTTATTATTATTTATCTAGATCTTAAATGTTTTTCAACAATGTTTTATTTTTCAAACTTTAAGCTTTGTACTTTAAATTTGTTCCTTATTTTATGCTAGTTCTAAATGCATTTTGGTTGCTCATTGTAAATATAAGATAGAATAGAGACTTGTATTATCAGTCTTGCATCCTGCATCCTTGCTGAACTCGTTTATTAGTTCTAGTTATTTTTAGTTGATTCTTTAGGATTATATATGTATATATGATCATGGTATCTGATCAGAGAGATCATTTTCTTTCTCCTTCCTGACATGAATGCTTTTTAATTTCTTTTCTTTGCTTAATTGTTTTGGTTTGAACATACCATATCATGTTGAATAGATGAATAGAGTGGACATATTGTTTTTCCCTGGCCTTATGTGTGGGAAAGATCGGGATTTTTACCATTAAGTATGATGTTAACTGTGTTTTCTGTAGATGCCCTATATTAGGTTGAGGAAGCTCTGTTCTTAGTTTGCTGAATGTCTTTGACTTGAAAGAATGTATGAGGGGCAGGTGTGTGAAATGTGTACCACATTTGGACTTTCAGGAGTTGGCACTTTGATAGAGAAATCAGGGGAGCACTCTAGAAGGCTAGAGATATAACTTTGGGTGTTGACTTATATATGGAATTTTAAAATGCAAAATTGAATGGTGTCACCAAGGGAGGGAATATAACTAGAGACCTTTTCCCTTTCTGCCACCCAGTTCTTCAGTTCTCAGCTGAACTACTTGTCAAGGAATAATATTCCTTGACTTGGACTAAAGCATATCCCACTATATAGGCACCCAGTAAAAACTGTGTATGAGCAAATGACAGCGCTTTATTGAAACCACCCAGTGTTACATGTGATTTGGTGCAAACCAGACAGCACTTACTCTTTCCTGTGCTTCCAGCATCCTGTGTTTTCCTCTGAGGGAATTTGAGAGGTGGAGCAAGCAACAGCTGTCTCAAACCACGTAGAATTGGAGAGAATACGTGTTTATATTCTCTCTCATATTCCAGCTCTCCCCTGCTCTTCTTAAAAACGGAGTTTGGCATCTCTTCTGTCGCTAACAGTTTCTCATTTTGGCTTTCTGCTTATTCACGCTCTTCATTACGGCAACCCCCCAGCCCTGAAAATGTATTCCTGAGAGAAGGTGGTGTAGCTTCCTTAATGCCAGGAATGAGCTTGCTCTGAAGGCTGAGGCTTTCATGCAACCACATCTGACGTAGACGTGTCTCCAGGGAGTGATTCTCAAATCTGCAGTGCCACATCACGTAGTCAGAAATGCGGGTTCTGGGCCCAGCAATCCATGTCTTAACAAGCCTTCAGGGTAATGCCAGGAGCCCTCAGGGTGTGATTAGTTGGTTATGCTTTGGGTTGTTAGCTGCAAGGCCAGCATTTTTAACTTACCCAGCCCCTCCACAAAAGAAAGCTGAGGGGTTTTGCTCCTGTAAAGTTTAACAACCTCAGAAACCTAGTGTTTGACTTTGTACTGTTGGGTTGCTACTAGTAGAAATCGACTCAGTGGTAATGGATTTTGGTCAGAATAATTCCAAAAAATGCTGAATTTTGAGAACAACTCCTTAGAGAATTCTGCTTGCATTGGGCATCTTACCCCCACCGTATAAGGAAGCAGCACACCAACAT